TAATAAATAGTATGTAGGCAGTTTAGATGGATCAAAAAAGTGTTTTGATCCATTGCGTAGTTTTTATTTGACGTTTATTAAATGATTGATGAGAAAATCAAGTCAATTTTTTTTATCATATTTTGCTTTTTTATTTCTGCAAAGACAAAGAAGCATATTGAGCTGAAGAAAAGTTAAAAGCTGTTTGTGTATCGTGGTTTGTCACACTTCGTTCTAGCGATTTTTCATTCTAAGATAAAAAACCCTAAGGTCGTCTAGCTGAAGTTGATTTAAAAGAAACTTTTATAATAGAGAAATTTCAACTATTTTCACCAACCGAATGATTAATTCTGATGTGTATTATGAACAACCCTCGAAATTAAACATACGTATTTAAATACTGCTGGTAAAGCGGCCTGAATAGCCAAATGGAAACGGTGATTCATTTCATTATTGACATCATATATCTTTGGCCACACGGAAAAAATTATTGGGGCTTGGTTGGGATATTTTGCCATATCCACCATGCGTGAAGACCTTGCAGCTTTTGTTTACTTAATTTTCGATTTTACAAAACTTTTTGAATAAATAATAAAATATTTCAATGATTATGATGATCAAATTGTACTTGACTCATTTTTTGATAGTAAGATTTATCAAAGTGAAGAAGATGATGCTGCTTGTAAGGTAACAAAAAGTTATTGACCAGAACGGACAATACATTACAAAATGTAAATGCATGAAAACATCTCTGAATTTTTAATCAAAATTTACTATTAATTTCTAACCAAATATATATAACCGTACAACTTGTTTAACGATTGCGTCGAAATATTGAAGACAAAATAAAAAAACTGAATTCTTCAATTTGAATATTCAAGAAAAATCACGTTGCCTCTCAGGAATCAGGAAGTTACGATTCTATTCAGTGACAAACTCTACCTATTACAGGATCGATTATTATGCGGAATTTTCTAAATAAATAATTATTTTGTTTGTTTTATTCATACAAAAATTTTGCATGAGTATTATCGAAAAAGAAACTGCTACTTTACTTTAAGTAATAGTTCATAGTAGAGATGGGTAACTCACTCCGGAGTTATCACTCCGATACAACTCCTCCCTCGGAGTGAATCCGAGTGGAGTTGTTTCACAGGATTTGTCATATCCGACTTCCTTAAACTGGTATTAAATCTGTTAACTCGTACAGGCATTTAGTGTTTTTGTCGTTTTTGCTTTGGAAGGAAGCGGTCACTTTCTTGTCTCGCAGGCAGTTTTATAACCTTTTTTAGGTATAAAAGTCAAAATAAATACCATTGTGTATTTTCTAGAAAATAGAAAAATATTACTTTAAAGACACAGAACAATGAAATTGTATTCAAGTGTGAATAGCTCAAATGTATAATTTATTGAATAGTAAGGGGTGATATTTCTAACTACGACAATCTTTGGCCGTAAATGACGGAAATCAGAAATATACATACCGAAAAATATACGAAACGAAATACATTTATTTAATCTTGATTTTCGATAGCCTGAAATAACAACACTTTAGAGTACAAAATTTATCAGTAATATCATTAGTATTTAAGCAGTGAAAAATATTCAGTATTATATTATTACTTTTACACAATTATATAATTGTATAAAAGTAATATTATGCTGATCGAACTACGCGATATAATATTAATTCTCAAATGGAAATAACAAAAGAAAAATTTTTAAAGCAGAATTATTATGTTTTGCTTCTATTACAAAGTTTACTACATAATTTTTATATAAAATTAATCAAAAAAATCAATTATTTTCTCATCAAAAGGAAATCATTAAATTGAATTTGATTCTCAAGTTTTGCGTTTTTACTTTGGTCAACACTGCTAAAAATACGAGTCACTGAGTCGATCATCTGGTCGACCGAAACTTTTACAATCCGTCATTTATTCGTGAATTTTTTAGAAAAATTATTTTATTGATAATTATTCACAAATTTTTATTTCAAATAATTAACGGAATTTGACAAATCCTTAGATACATAAACAGCATACTATAATACAAATTTGTTTCGAGTATTTCGGTTTCAAAATTGTCGGAGTCGTGGAGTTGTTTAGCGGATATAACTCCACCATGAAGCGGAGTCAAATCCGAGTCGATCCGGCTTCGGATATAATAAGCCATCTCTAGTTCATAGGTATATAATAAGCAGAATTATAAGTAGGAACAAATTTAACGAAGGTAGCTGCAGCTGCAGCTGCAGTTGGACCGTAAGTACATAGTTCTGTTTCGCGAAGCGCAAATCGTTGCAAATATTTGGAATACAGCATATATCATTAGTGCTTTACGTTAAGTAGTTTTCAAAAGAGATTAGTTTATAAACACTCATATTATGCCCATGTATACACATATATTTGCATACATACACACACATATATAAAGAGGACAGGGCGGGGCACCAAACTGTAAACTATATGCACTACATGACAAAACATAATATGCATCAAACAAGTAACTATCGAACTATGTTCAGTATAATGCCTAGTGAACTTCTAATCATCAAGTATTTTACGAACCTGATTTTTGATGAAAATACCTAATGCACTTAAGTGCACTTTTCAAAAGGATGGCTCCTCAAAGTCGACCGACTTTAAAAATTTCAAATGAATAGTTCAGCAGAAAAAACTTAATTCTCAAAAACTTGGGGAATTGTGTTAATATTTTTCACTTAAATCCTGTGTTGAAATAGTATTCATTGCTATGTTTTCAATATCTAAAAGAACAAAACTAATGTGAATTGACCATGATGACCGATAAATGGTCATAATTTCACCAGAGTTCTAAGTTTCGTCTAAAAGTTCATAGTTTAAAAACAACGCAAGATAATGTTTTTTCCTAATTATTTTCATAATAGCAAAGGTTGATGTTATCATTCTATATATAAATATATACAGAGCAATATATTTCATGATTCATAGAAAAGGATATTTATATCATTGAAAATATGAATAAACTAGTTGGTATTGGTATTTTGCCTTGAGGAAAGTTACATAAACTTCCCGATATGAGTAAATAATCGATTTAATCAATAAAAAATAAATTAATTTATGACTGATTAAAAGTATTCCGAATGGATTTATTACACATAATTGAAAACAAACGAACACGTTAACTCGGAGTATTTTCTAAAAGCAAATGTTCAAAAATCAACAATTTTTTTAAATTGAACCAGTTTTCGTAGGACTTTAATGGTTTCATATGTTCATTAAGACCAGGTACTCTATCGTTATACCAAGTAAATCGTCTAATTTTAATTTTTAATAAACAAATATAAAAAAAAACTACTAATTTTCTCAAACTATGAAGACTTTTTAAAATTAAACTACTTGTCGTAAGGCCGTAATATTCCAATAAGTTCTATAAGACCATGACATATATCGCCAAAAAGTTCCAAAAATCGGCTTAAATTTTTTTTTCAACAGTTAATTGCAAGAAAATGGCTCAGTAGATTTTTACCTAAAACTCATTGAGATCATCAAATGATCTTTTAAATTTTTGAAATTGGTTCAGGCGTTTCTGAGCCAACCTTGATGAAAGGTCTAGTTTTGACAAATGCTAAAAAAACGATAGTATTTTTTGGAAACTTTGACGAATTTTTCAAGCTAAACAAGTTGTCGTAGAGCCGTAATATTTTAATATGATCTAGAATACTATGGTGTCTACCATAAAAAAAATAATAATAAAAATCGTCGAAAATTCTTGTTCAATACTTTATAACAATAAATCGGGCTGACCGATCTCTACCAAAAACTCATTAGCACGATTACCAACTAATATCTTTCGAACGGTTTTTGCATTTTCAAAATAGATTCAGAACTGCGGGCTAAAACGTGAACGATTTTTTTCTCACTTTTCTGCTATTTACAAAGAAACGGCTTGGCTGATCGTCGCGCAAAATTGACAAACGCTAGTCCTCATCGCCGTACATCGAATGACTTTAAAATTTGAAATCGGTCCAGCCGTTTTTGAGAAAACGTGGATTTACGGCAAAAAATCTGTTCACACACACACACATTTTCTTCAAATTTGGTCTCATTCGATTCAGAATGGCTTGAAACGTCGAGAAAACAAAATTAGAAAATCGGATTTTTTGATTAAAAATAAACTTCTCCTTCGGGAACTTAATTATAAAATTAAAATTATATTCAAATAAAAAATATTATTCTACAAATCTTAAAATAAAAAATCTGTTCACACACACACAAACACACACACATACTTTCTCCAAATTTGGTCTCATTCGATTCAGAATGGCTTGAAACGTAGAGAAAACATAAAATTAGATAATCGGATTTTTTGATGAAAACAAACTTTTTCCGAGAAGTTAATAGTGCATTTAGGCTGAAACTCTCGTATAACGATGTAGAACATCTACAGAAAATTTTCAATTAATTCATATTTTAAAAATAATTTTAGAACCCCAATTTAAATTTGTCTATATTCATTTTCCTCCAACTTCATCTATGTATATATGCAAAAATATGTATCAAATATGTACATATCGTTAGAGTGTTATATGCTATATGTATATATATATACTTTGTACTATTTTTTGGTAGAGTCGAACTAATTATTTATAAAAAAGTTAAAATTTGAAAACTTAGTTCTCGAAATAAATTTTAATTTTTTTTAAATTTAGCAGGTCAGAAGCTAAATCCTAATAAGATATAATAAAACTCTCCAATAAATACAAAGTAAAATAGCAAAATAAACATTTAGCTTGCAATAATAAATGAGATTCATAATAATAGAAATAAACCTCTCTTTCAAGTTGGACTGTAATCATATATAAAGGGCAACAAAGTTTTATCAAAATTCATTTAATAGTTTATTGCAAACATAAATCATGACACCAAGATTTCGTATAATAGCTATGTAGATTTAAGTAGCTATGTAGTAAGATAAAAATAGCGGTAGAGTGAAATTTTATTGCACTATAAACATAATGATTCACATTAAAACATTCTTACCGGTTTTCCGGGATCCATGAACATGAAAATAATCATCATTGTGTAGTAGGGCGTCCAGCATATGATGAATGCCATCACGATAACCACGGAAATTCGCAGAGACTTCATTTTCGCTCGATGTATGAGGCGACGCCTGTTCAGATCCGGCGCTGAACGCTGACAGCGCAATTGCACTTCAGCCCGGAACACTTGCTCACTCTCTGCAAATCGAAAATGGAAAATTTAACATATTTTTCAAACACTAAACAAACATTTTCTTAATTGATTTTTTTTTGTAGTTGATTTTTTGTATGAATAAATTTAATTTTGTATATATAGTAAAATAAACTCGATTAACCAGGTTAATTGTTGTCGATAGGCATTCGGATAATTAAAAATTTGTATGAACAAATATATAAAAATCTATGTTTATTAAGAAATTAACACTTATGTATGTACACACAATAGATGGGTAACTCACTCCGGAGTTCACTTCAAAACAACAACTCCCTCGAGCGAGAGAATACGAGCGGAGTGGTATCGGAGTTTTGTCATATACGACTTCATTAAACTGGTACTAAATGTGTTAACAAGTACAGACATTTAATCGAGATTTTTTACTAATGCAAATATTTGCATCAAAAGAAGCGGTCGCCTTCGCGTCTCACGGCCAGTTTTATAACTTTCTAGGCATAAAATGTCCCAAAATAATGCAACTTTGAATTCTATAATCTGTCTACGATAATCCTTGTTCGTGAATGAATGACATCTAACAAGTGGACAGAAGTGGGCCACGTTATTATTTTTGAATCTAAAATTTTCTTAATTTTTTTTTAGTTGCAAGGGTAGGGTAGGGCGGCGCTAGTTGAGCAAATTTTCACTTAAACGAATGTAGCTCCTCAATGAAAAGTTTCAATAAATTGCTATACGACCTAATGGATTTGTTGTTTATCGCTTCACAAAAGTGTTAATACTATTATTTTGTAATATGTAAAATTTAAAAGCTACAGCTGTTTAAATGCAAAAAGTCAATATGCTCAATGTACCCCATAGGTGGGGCAAGTTGAGCACTAAGAAATTATAGATTTATTGTCGATTAGTGATGAAATAAAATAAGTTTTTAATTACCAGTTCTATACTAATAGTTTTTATTGACAGAGAAAACAAAACTTATAGTAATTTTCTTTGAATATTTAGCCAAAAGTAGAATCAACAAAACAATATCGTATCTTAGGAATTATTTTACCATTATATTCAGTGTTTTTGTTTAAAATCATCATTTCTTTATATTATTACTCATAGACTTAGCCTAAATCTTAAAAATAATAATTAATTTCTTGAAGTTAATGATAATTGTCTTAGTGACAGAACAAGTTTAGCAACTGTGCTCAACTAACCCCAACACGGAATTTTGAAATGAAAGTGAGTTTATAAAAAAAACCGTGAGAATTATACCCAGAACCTCTATGCATATTAAAAGTAGTATAACTATATGGAAGAATAACATTTACCTGTATAAAAATAAACAACATTTGACTAAAGCAGACGAAAACTCGTGATGAATTAGTTTTTTACTTTTTGGTCTCAAAATAAACAAAACGCCCGTGAGTCTCACTCATTTTTATGGGATGTTTATTTCTCCCAAACCTCTATCTTCCGCCATATAATGCCTAAACGGACGGTGAATAGTTTTCGAAATACTTCGATTGCTCAACTTGCCCCTATGCTCAACTAGCCCCGCCCTACCCTACTCCAAAATGTAACTTTTTATCATAGCAAATGCTTGAAATTATGTTTGGAACTACTTCTCTTTTTGAATGACAAAAAAGTATATTTAAGGTGTTTTCCGAAAATGTAGGGAAAAGTGGGCCACCCAAACTTTTATCCGAAAAAAGTAATACTATGACTTTTTAAAAAAAGCTTATAGATTGCATAGTTCTGAACTTGAACCTTGGCCATTAAAGTGTATTTTTATTAGTAAAATTTAAACAAAATTTTGATTTTCATTATGCATACGTTAAGTAATGATTGTTTGGCTTCAGGACACCGTGTTTAGATATTATTCTTTCGTAAATCCAAAGAGGCTTGTCAGGCTATTTAGCATATTGAATATACGAATCGAATAGTTTTATACTAGCAAAGTAATTCAAAGCTGCCAAACGTAGCAGATTTGCCAAATATATTTATCCAATACGCGTGTTAGAACGATACTATCGAGTTTTATAGCAGGGGATAGTACTATCGTGCCATTTTTTTACCAGTTAGCTGAGAGGAAAGTGAATTAAATGGTAGTTTGAACATTTGTCTAGGTGGAAATACTGAAATACGGTCTTTATTTCAGTCCACGATGGATTAGTTATGAAATCAAATTACATTGTCACAATTGTCCACACCCCCAGGGTCAGTTGTGACTGATATAAGAATAGGTTAAAAACAATAGGTATAAACACCAGAATAATTTTTGTCAGAACGAATTTTATTGTCAAAAATATGTAACACAACGCAATATATGACAAAACATAATTTTTTATACAAAGTTAACAAATATTCATTGTCAAATCTTTTTTTTCTTATATTGAATTTTCTTTTTCCTTTCTTTTTAAGTTAGATTTTTTTTATCTGTTTAATCTTCACTCGAAAAAGACAAAACATACATGTCACAACCGTACCCAAATCACACTTTTGAAAACAAATTATTGTTTAAAAAATTATTTAAGCAAAAACTAATTGCTGGTGAATAACTACTAAAGTTCAACCCTGTTCAACTTACGGCCAAATGAACAATTCAATCCATTTGTGTTCAATTAACAGTTATGATTAGACGAAATCACACATGAAAACTTTTGACCTTTTGAAAGCGATGTGGTCTACAGATCATGTTAATGCAAAGCACTGACTGAAAGCAATAATGTAAACTTGTTCAAAGAGAATTACTTCTTTCACAATTTAGACCCAATCAGAAAATCAGTATAGTTTAGTTGTTATAATGACTGTCACTACCGCACCCAGTCTCCCCTACTTATAAAAACTGAATGCTTTTGGAATCAACTTCGGGTCAATACATTTCATCAAAGCTATACAAAAAGAAAGTATCGATCAAATATCAATTTTGAAGCCAATGACTTGATATTGCGGTTGTGCCTTCAGTGTGGCGGTATATCAATATTTAAATGCTTTGGGATGTTTATTAGATAAGGTAAATGTTATTGAGTGACTCTATCAAGAACCATAAAATATCTAATATAAAATACAGAATACGTTGGCGCAGTTACAAAAATCACTTAATCTTTAGGTACGATTCTTTGTGATATATAATATTTACTCTACGGGAGCTTAATAATAACATCTGCATTTTCATTTTTGCAGAATATTAAAATTGCTTTGCACCGTTATATCTGTAAAAAATTAATTGGAAAAGAGTTGCATTGCATAAGTCGAAGACACAGAGAAACGCAAAGCTTTATATTTCTTCAAAAGAACTTAATTGAGTCTTACGATTTTTCCTTGTGATAGACTAAATGAAATTGGTTCAATTGCTTTTTTTTCAAATTTTGTTTTTTTATTTCCATTAGCAGAATCTTGCAGAAAATGAATTGAAAATGTCTGTAAGAATTTATTATGAAATGAGGTATTGTTTGAAAACAAAGCGGTAATGGATGCATTGATACTGAAAAGAATCAATTTGACGGTTAGTTTACAAGATGCTTACGTCTTAGATATTTCATGATATTACTGTCATAAGTTCAATTCCTTCGAGAGATATATTTGATATTCGAGAAATATATATTGCGTTTGGTTTGTAACGTTTATGGTATTGTGTTTTGTGATATGAGGATTGGGGAAATAAGTGACAATTATTTTATATATATATATACATGTGTGTGTTTTTTAAATGCTTCGGTTTTCTCTTTTTTGCCTTTGGCCGTGTTGTGAAATTTGATGGTTTTGGTTTTAACCGAATTGTAGTGGATTGACAATTGTTGACATTTATATTGAATCATTGCTAATATATTTAAATGTATGTATGCCTGTTTGTCTGTCTTATGCATTCAAAAATTAAACATCAAATCGCCGAAAAATTTGGAAAATGGTTATAATATATCCCCGAACAGGTTTTCGGATATTTTTATTGAACCCAAATGGCAATGGACCGAGTGCGGAAGTGACAGTCGTCATAACAACTGAACTATACCGATTTTGAGATTGGATCTAAAGGGTGAAAGAAGTAACTTTCTTTGAACAAGTCCCTGGCAAGGATTGACCACCCCGACGTTTTTTTTTATTTAATTTTTTTGATAATTTTAATTTTTTCATTTATTCATAATGCGCATATAAAAAGCCCTAAAATTTTGACCTATTTACACAACTTTTTTAATAGATGCACTACATATATATATATATATATATATATATATATATATATATATATATATATATGTAGCGGCCTGTCAACACGCATCGCATTTCTACTGGACAGATAGGCTCATCATAGTGACAGCACGGACAAAACAAAAGTTCAAGTGTCAGTTGGTATCTCTCGATTGTTTCTCCCCAGTCTCACTGCCAAAAGTATAATTAACACTTTTCCTTTTTATTGAAAACACGAATACTAACTATATTTTATAAATGATAAATATGATAACACATAGTGTCGTTACTATTTTATTATAAATAAAATATATATATTACATATGAACCACGGCTTTCCATATATATATATGCTAAAATTGTTCTCGGGCATCTATCCAGTTTTATTGAAAGAAAATGTTTTTATTAAAAAAACATACGTTTCGGGTCTTGATTTGACCCATCTTCAGTGCATACAAAACACAAAAACAAATTTATAAAACGTCGAGTTATGATAAATTTTAAATAATTGTATAATTAAAATAAACATAAAAATAAATAATATATTTTATTATAAAAAAGCTTATTCCAAACGAACATATCAGCTTGGAGTTTGTGTAACATGTCAGTCATGTTAATTACTGGATGGATGCCCAAGAACATATTATTTTATCATTATTATTTCACCATCTGAAGAAAAACCTCTCGCTTTATTTATATACATATATATATATATATATATATATATATATATATAAATAATTATTTATATATATTATAATATATATATGTGTGTGTGTGTAAATATATACGTATTTTTTCTTTAATTGTTCTATGATATCCATTGTTACTTCAGTAACTATAAAAGCTTACA